TTTGTTTTTCCTTGATCAAGTATTGTAGCATTTTGTAAATCTGTTCCAAGAAGCAATTTTTGGTTTTGTTGATACTTTTTATTGTTTCTTTGTTTTCTATTCCATTAATTCCTGTGTTTATTTTTATTTTGCTTCTTTTAGTTTCTTTAGGTTTTCTCTGTTCTTTGTCCAACTTGTTTTCATTAATTTTGAAATATTTTAATAAATGCTTGTTAAATTTTTTTCTCTTAAATACTATGTTAATACATTCACAAGTCTTGGAATCTTGTGTTTTTGTTGTTTAGCTGCAAATATTTTGTAACTCATCATTATTTTTTCCTTTGGCCCTTGAATTACTAGAGAGTTTTTTGTTTGTTTTTTGTGGGTTTTTTGTTTTGTTTTAGTTTCCAAATTAAAATGGGAATGACTATTGTTCTCATATTTAAAATTTCCTGTATCATTATGTTACAGGTATGTTTATAGATTGTAGTTTATGGGGTGTATTTGTGCTTATTTTATTCTTTTAATAAGTTATGGGCCACTTAGATTTATTATTATAAATAAAATGTATCCTGATGTCTTAGGGTTTTCTACTATCTTTGTGATTTATATTTACTAGACTTTCTTTTTGGTTCTTTTTTCTATTTTTCTGCCTTGGATTTAAAAAATGTTCTTGATTACTTTCTTTCTACTAATTTGAAAGGTCTGTATTCTATTTTTGTTCTTTGAATGATTAATGTTAAATTTTTGTATCTGTTTTGGTACATAGATATAATTCTAATTACTATATTTTAACATGCATATTAAACATTAAGGTTCATCTCTATCATTCTTGTAAATATTACAAGAAAATTTAGTACATAAGTTCAAGCAATACCCATCTTCTATGAAATTGTCTAAACATTTTAGTCCACTTTATTGGTGGGAAAGGACATCAGTTGATTTCACTTTATTTTTAAATCCCTAAATTTAGGCATCACTGTTAGTATGGGTTTTTTTCCCCACTATATAGTCATCACTATTTAGATTGATGTATATTTACTGATTTTTAATTTGTCTTTGCCTGTTATGTTTCACTTCTTTGTGGGTTAAATTGCCTTCCCTTTACAAGTAAATCCTTTAGTAGTTCTTTAATGAAGATTTGTGGGTGTTAAGTTCAGTTATTATCTTTATATTATACTTGTTGTTGAAGGATGGTTTGGCTGGTTGTAGAATTCCACATTGATAGTTATTTTCCATCAGTAATTTGAAGATATTTTTCTATTGCCTTTTGCCCTCTAATGTTGCTGAGAAGTCTGCTCTTGATCTAACTATTGAACCTTTATAACGTAATCCATCCTTTGTCTCTGGTTGCTTTAAAATTCTTCACTTTGATGTACTTTGATTTTATTAGTCTCTATGAAGTTTTATATTTATTTGTTTCATAATATCAGAACTTGGAATATACTTTTATTCAAAGAACTTATGTCTTCAGTAAAGTTCTGGGAACCTTTAAGCTATTGTCTTGAAATATCACCTTCTTCTTTTCTCTGTATTTCTTGACCGCATTCTATATATTATCCTCACATCTCTTCTAGTTTGCCGTTAAACTTATCCTAAATGTTTTAAATTTCAGTGGCAATATTTTTTCATTTTGGAAGTTCCATTTGTTTTTTCTGTTGTTGTTGTTCATTCTTTTGTCATTAGTTTCTTCATTTTTCATTATGGATTTATCCTGTCTTTGCTCTAAATAAACATGTTTAAAATTATTTTAATCTCTTTCAGATTGTTCTATTTTTTCAAATTCTTAAGAAGCCATACCTCCTGTTTGTTGTGTCTGCTAACTGTCCTTTATACTGGATTATTTTCTCATGTGATTTGTAGTTATTGATTGTGTGTTCATCTTCAGCAAGGATTTTTTTTTTTTATGCATGCATATAAAAAAACTCAGGTGTTCTGGTTTGTGGAAGTAAGAATTGCTCACAAGGGATACCTAGAGTTTTGATTTCATACAAGAGATATTTTTTTCTCCTCCTGTTTGAAGCCCCAGGAAGAATAGGCTTCACTTTCCTGGACCAGTGGACAGTGATTTTATAAATGTTTTTTTCACTAAGAGAGCAGCCCTTCTAAGCTTCTAGTTTCACTTCCAGCTTCCCACCTCTGTAACTATATCAGCATTAAATTTCCAGCCTTTAGCCTTTATATATATATTTCAGATGTAGATATAAATATCTTTCTAAACAGCTTTTTGTCAGCTTTTGGATTACCCCAGTTGTAAATCACTGATAAGACTTTTTCTTTGCTTACTTTTTAAACTAAACTGTATATTTGTTTTTTTTTTTTAAAGATTTTTTATTTATTATTTGAGAGAACGAGAATGAGAGAGAGAGAGAGAACACATGAGAGGCGGAAAGGTCAGAGGGAGAAGCAGACTCCCTGCTGAGCAGGGAGCCCGATGTGGGACTCGATCCCGGGACTCCAGGATCATGACCTGAGCCGAAGGCAGTCGCTTAACCAACTGAGCCACCCAGGCGCCCTGAAACTAAACTGTATATTTGAACCTTTTATTTATTTGTTATATTTTTATCAAGCATTTTATGTGTTTATAGCATTTTAGCTGGAGATTGTTTGTAAAACGTTTTAAAAACTTTAACCTATGCTTCTAGAAATAGAAAGCTAATTTCCATGGTCCATTAATGTTTTCGTGAACATTTAAAAATGTTTGCTTATTTTAGCAAAATTGATAAAATAAAAAATTTTTAAAGATTTTATTTATTTATTTGAGAGAGAGAGAGAGGGAGAGTGAGAGGGAGAAGCAGACTCCACCCTGAGCAGGGAGCCCAACGCAGGACTTGATCCCAGGACCCTGAGACCATGACCTGAGCCAAAGGCAGATGCTTAACCGACTGAGCCACCCAGGCACCCAAGAAAATAAATTTTTAATTTCTCATTATGGAAAATAGTGCTTATTCCCTTCATGTTCTATATCCTGGTAATCATTAGTATAATAATTTGCAGTTGTATACTTCATTTTTACTTTTTATTTCTGTTTCCTTCTGTTATACTAACATGTTATACTAATGTTATACTAACATTTAGGAATCTTATTCACATTTTGAATGTGTTCTCCACTGTGTAGAAAACCAATTCTTTTCATTTTTACCCTTAAGTTCTCCACTCTTGGGTTCTTAATTTCATTTCTCCATGTTCTGGAACATTTCTTTGATTAATTTATTTGGAAAAGATGGCTAGGTAGTATATTTACTTAGTTCTTAGATATCTAGGAATGTCTTTTGCCTTTATAAGTAAGCAACAATTTACTTGGATATAAAATTCTTGGAACATTTTATTTGGTAGGTTAAAACTAATTGTTATAATAAGGAGACCAAAATTACAGATCAAATAAGACAGAAATTTAGTTCTCCATAATCCAATACTTGTTATGTGACAGTGATCAATGTAGGCCTGATAGATGACTTTGTTCCACAAGGCCATCCAGGCAGGCAGGGCCATCTCTGTCATTACATCATTTGGCTTCCATCTCTGGATGCCAAGGTTGGCATTGTGTTTTAGCCTGTGGGAAGGAGGAAAGAGGAGTCCACAGAAAGCAGATGTACCTATAAAATGATCCATTGTATACATTACTTCTATTCACATTTTGTTGTCTCAGATTTGGCATATCATCACATCTAATCTCAAGGGAGGCTGGGTTATGTAGATGCTAGCCAGACACAGTCATATGCCTAGCTTAGAACTAAAATTATATCTCTAAAAGGAAGAGGGGAGAATGGATGGAATATTGGAAGATAGATGTCTCAACCGCAGACATCTAGAAAATTTGCACTCAAATTTTCTTGTTTGTTTGAATCCTTATTTTTTCCTCCTTGTCCCCCTCTTCCCTCTCTTGGAAATGTCAGTGTAGGCCATTTCCACATTTTTTAATTTAGAAGTTTTTTTTCTTATTTGTGTGTATTCATTTTTTTAAAAGATTTTATTTATTTATTTGACAGAGAGATAGATAGCGAGAGCAGGAACACAAGCAGGGAGAGGGAGAAGCAGGCTTCCTGCAGAGCAGGGAGCCCGAAGCGGGGCTCAGTCCCAGGACCCTGGGATCATGACCTGAGCCGAAGGCAGACGCTTAACGACTGAGACACCCAGGCGCCCCGTGTGTATTCATTTTATATCAAGGATATTACTTTTCGTATTTGTGGAAAATTTTTCTTAAAAGTTTTGATACTGCCTTTTAAATCTGTGTATTATATTTTTGTACTTTTGCATTTTTTAAACTTACCTTTTCTTCCTTTTATTCATATAGTTTATATTCTAACACATAGATTAATTTCTCCTCTTATATTGGCTTAACCATTATTACATCAAACTATCTTTCTAAAAATGTATAGCTTTTCATTATTACTCTTTGCCTATTCTCATTAGCTATCTCTGATGGCTGAAAAATTTTTGTACCATCACAAGGAAGCTTGTAGAAGATATTGCTGTAGGAGCTTAAGGGAAATAGAAGTAGTATTGGTAGTGATGGCTTTCTAAAGTGGATGTAGAGGGGAGCCTGGGTGGCTCAGTCGTTAAGTGTTTGCCTGTGGCTCCGGTCATGATCCCAGGGTCCTGGGATCAATCCCCGCATCGGGCTCCCTGCTCTGCGGGAAGCCTGCTTCTCCTCCCACTCTCCCTGCTTGTGTTCCCACTCTCGCTCTCTTGTCAAATAAATAAATAAAATCTTAAAAAAAAAAAAAAGTGGATGTAGAGTTGCTCAGAGTGCCCTTCACTAGAGTGAATGTAAATTAAACACCGTGTGTTTTAACAAAGAGAATCCTAGAAAAGGAGCTGGGGTCTTTGATTAAAGAAGAAATAACTAGCTGCCACACTTTCGATGATGGATTTTATATTCCTTTTAGCAGAAGTTATCTTTGGTTTATTTGTATAGGATTTTAGAGGTAGCTTTGATGTGTAATTACTTTAAAAGTCAGTTTGATTGTTATCTACAAAATGAGAGAAAGATAACTCACTTGCTAATATTGCTTTTCAAGGAAGAAATTCAGAAAATATATTTTTGGAGAAGTTAAAGCAAGACAGTATTCCTGCTCCTCGCTCTGTTGGCAGTATTAAAATCAACTTTACCCCTCGAGTATTTCCAACTGCTCTCCGAGAATCACAAGTAGCAGAAGAAGAGGAGGTAGGAATACTTGCTGTTAGTTACAATGATCACAAATGAAAATACTTTCTTATTTCATCTATTAAAACTAATACTGAGTTTTCAATTTCTTAAGTATTCATTACACTTAAGATAGTACTTCTTGAACATATTTTAGTATGTCCTTTTGAGAAAAATATATTTTGCAGAATTTTTTTGTCTCCGAACACTGATGAGAGAACCCTGATTTAGTAGGCAGTATTATTGCTTATTCCAGGAGATAAACTGTTATACTTGCCACCTATTTATCAAATGCATCATTTGCTATATTAGATTTGTAAACTTGTGTTTTGGTAAGGGATAAATATATGTTTGGTAACAGATTTGGAAATTTATTGTTAATATATTATTACAATTATTATTATCATCTGGTATTTCTATTGTGACAGTCTGGAATATCTCTCATTCATTTATAAATTCCTGGGCCCTGGGATTTTGAATGTTGTATCTTTAGTTATATAGGCACTAAGAACTGCATTTTTTTTTTACTACAAGATATTAATTGTTGCCTCTCACAATTGAAAAGTTGTGGAAGTGGGGCGCCTGGGTGGCTCAGTTGGTGAAGCATCTGCCTTTGGCTCAGGTCATGATCCCAGGGTCCTGGGATCAAGCCCCGCATTGGGCTCCCTGCTCAGTGGCGAGCCTGCTTCTCCCTCTGCCTCTGCTGCTTCCCCTGCTTGTGCTCTCTCTCTCTGTCAAATAAATAAGTAAATCTTTTAAAAAAAAAAAGAAAAGTTGTGGAAGTAATTGAAGATCCTAAAGACATAATGACAGTTTATAAATATTAACTATTTTGGGGGCACCTGGGTGGCTCAGTTCGTTAAGCATCTGCCTTTGGCTCAGGTCATAATCTCAGGGTCCTGGGATTGAGCCCCAGGTAAGGTTCTCTGTTCAGCAGGGAGTCTGTTTCTCTCTCTCCCTCAATAATCTCTCCCTCTCTCACTCTCTCTCAAATAAATAAATAAAATCTTAAAAAAATTTTAACCATTTTATTATTAAACAATATATTCTAAATTTTATTATTTGTAAAATTATCTCTAGAATTATAAAATTATAATTATTTAAAAGTCATTTATATTTTTTCATTTTAGAAAAACAAATATAGCAAGAAAAGTAAAATAATAATCACATGAACTCCCAGAAATTTCTATGAAATTTGGACTACAAATTTTTATACATTTGATCTTTACCAGCTAGTAATGTTAAACTGAAAAGGATAAAAATGAAGTTTAAAATCACATTATCAAATAGTATATTAATCTACTCAGGCTGCTATAACAAAATACCCTAGACTGGATGGCTTAAAGAACAGACATTTCTCCAAGTTCTGGAGGCTGGAAAGTCCAAGATCAGGGTACAGGGAGTGTTGGAAGGAGAGCTGTGCTCTGGTCTCTTCCTCTTCTTAGGACACTAATCTCATCATGGGGCCCCACCCTCATGGCCTCATCTAAATCTAATTACCTCCCAAAAGTCCTACTTCCAAATACCATTACATGGGGATTAAGGGCTTCATCATATGAATTTTGAGAGACACAAACTTTCAGTCCATAACAAATAGTATTTCCATCTTATGGTAGAAACTGAGAAATCTCAAAGTAGTTGTTAATAAAAATAAGACTTTTGTGTCCTTCATTAGATTTCGTTCCCTTATTTCAGTGGTTACACAAACAAGCAGAGGCACGAAGAGCACTGAATACTGATATTCCTGAACTTTCTGATTTAAAAGAGGAAGAAAAGAATCCAGAATGGCTGAAGGACAAAGGAAAGTAAGTTGTTTGAACTCTGGCTATGAGATTTATAATACATTAGGTATACATTAGTACTTACTACATCTTCAAGATATCTTGACATATGTGCTTGTGTGTATGTTGTTGGGGAAAGATAATGCAAATAAGCAAATTAGGTAGGCAGGGCTTCCTTATTTAAAAAGTCAGATCATATAAGAAGGCTCTTATTTTTATTTGTTTTTATATTTAAATGTCACAGAAATGAAATATATGACATCTTTTGGGTTACTTATTAAAATCCCTTACATTTAGCATAAGTTCTTCCTAATATCTCCCTTAGAAATGTGTTTTTTAGGGGCGACTGGGTGGCTCAGTCAGTTGAGCATCCGACTCTTGATTTTGGCTCAGCTCATGATCTCAGGACGTTGAGATCAAGCCCTGTGTCAGGCTCCTCACCGTGAAGTATGCTTAAGATTCTCTTTCTCCCTCTCCCTCTGCCCCCCCTTAAAAAAAATTCCCTCTCTTAAAAAAAAAAAATGTGTTTTTTAGGAACTAGAGTTTCTTTGATTATTCATCTCCATCTTTAAAAGGTTACCACATTATCTTATAAATTATCATTTTATATCCAGGAAATCCTTTCTTTTATTTACATGTTGCTCTGTGTGTGAATATTTTTATAAAATTATCAAAAACTGAATTTTGATACATTATGAATGGCAATTTGAATTCATATTTTGAGGCAGTTGTAGATGTTACTTATTATATTTCATTATATAGCCTTTTATATTATTTTTCTATTGTTGCCATAACAATCTACCATAAACTCAGTGGCTTAAAATATCACAAATTTGGGGGGTGGAGCAAGATGGCGGAGGAGTAGGAGACCTGGATTTTGTCTGGTCTCAGGAATTCAGCTGAATAGGGATCAAACCATTTCGAACACCTACAAACTCAACAGGAGATCGAAGAGAAGAATAGCAACAACTCTCTGAACGGAAAAGCGACCACTTACTGGAAGGTAGGACGTGCGGAGAAGTGAATCCAAGGCGATATTCGGAGGATACACAGCGGGGGAGGGGGCCTCCGTCGGCCACTTCTGGCAAGTGATAGAGCCGCGGAGCACAAAATCGGAACTTTTAGAAGTTGGTTCTGCTGAGGGACGTCGCTCCAGTGGCTAAGCTGAGGGTGGAACCCTCGCAGGACAGTGTGGTCTCAGGACCCTCGGGGTCACAGAAAGACCGGGGGTGCCTGAGTGCAGCGGAGCTCCCAGGTATCAGAGCAGGGAAGCCAGCTGCGGAGATGGAGCCGAGGTGCGGGCTCTCAGCTCGGGGTTGCCATAAACTGTGATCCGCGGCCCAATTGGACCACTGCTCCTCCAGCAGGGACCCAACAAGTGGCAGATCCAGGGAGACTCCCCTTCCTCCCCCCGGGAGGAGGGGCGTGGGAGTGCACCGCAGGGATCTGCTGGGTTTGGAGACTCCACATGGGGTCGGGTGCCAGAGATAGAAACACTCGGTCACAGGCTGGGTGAGCGCGGAGTGCGGCTGGAGACTGGGGACACGGGAGTGACTGCTTTTCTCTGGGGGTGCACTGAGGAGTGGGCCCTGAGTTCTCAGCTCCTCTGGGCGGAGATTGGGAGGCCACCATTTTCACTCTCCTCCTCCAAAGCTGTACCAAGAGCTTGCAGGGAACAAAAGCTCCTGAGAGCAAGCCCGAGCAGCTTGCTTAGCCCGGACAAAAAGGGCGGGACAATTCCGCCTCCGGCAAAGACATTTGGGAACCATGGCAACAGGCCCCTCCCCCAGAAGATCAGCATGAACAGCCAGCAAGCCAAGACCAAGTTTACCGATCAAGGAAAATGGGAGAACTCCAGCGCTAGGGGAATACTGCACATAGAATTCATGGCTTTTTTTACCATGACTCATTAGTTTTTAAAAGTTAATATTTTTTTAGCTGTTTTTTTTTTTGAATTTTTCTTTTTCCCTTTTTCAACCATCTTATCAATTCCTTTTTTAAAAAAATATTTTTTATTTTTCATTTTTAGAGTCATACTTTATCCCTTCATAGTAGTTACCCTTATTTTTGGCATATATATATATATAAGTTGTTCTCTCTTTAAAAATTTTGAGATACAGTTTTTTCTAACAGATCAAAATATACCCTAAATCACTAGTGTACGGCTTTGTTCTAGTCTCCTGCCTGATCACATTCTCTCCCTTTTTTTTCCTATTCTTTTTTTTAAATCTTCTTCTTTTTTCAAACTTCTTATCAATTCCTTTTATAAAATCTTTTATACTTTTCATCTTTACACTCATCTTCCATCCCTTCATTGTATCAACCCTTATTTTGTACATATATGTCTTTCTTCCTTTAAAATTTTAGGAGGCACTTTCTTCTAACAGACCAAAATACGCCCAAAATCTAGTGTGTGGCACTGATCTATGCACTAGCCTGATTACATTTGATCATATTCTGTTTTTTTTGTTTTGTTCTGTTTTTGTTTGTTTTTATCTTTTTCTTTTTTTTTTCTCTTTCTTTTTTCTTTTTCTTTTCCCCCTGGTTTCAGGTCTTTTCTGATTTGTATAGAGTATATTTGCTGGAGACGTTGTTAACCTGTTAGCATTTTGTTCTGCCATTCATCTGTTCTCCTCTGGACAAAATGACAAGACGAAAAAAATCACCTCAGCAAAAAGAACAAGAGGTAGTACCGTCTGCCAGGGACCTACTCAGTATGGACATTAGTACAATGTTGAACCTAGAGTTCAGAATCACGACTTTAAAGATACTAGCTGGGCTGGAAAAAAGTGTGGGAGTTATTAGAGAAACCCTTTCTGGAGAAATAAAAGAACTAAAATCTAAACAAGTCGAAATCAAAAAGGCTATTAATGAGGTACAATAAAAAATGGGGGCACTAACTGCTAGGATACATGAGGCAGAAAAGAGAATCAGCGATATAGAAGACCAAATGATGGAAAATAAAGAGGCTGAGAAAAAGAGAGAGAAACAACTACTGGATCATGAGGGCAGAATTCGAGAGATAAGCGATACGATTAGACGAAACAACATTAGAATAATTGGGATCCCAGAAGAAGAAGAAAGAGAGAGAGGGGCAGAAGGAATATTGGAGCAAATTATAGCAGAGAACTTCCCTAATGTGGGGAAGGAAACAGGCATCAAAATCCAGGGGTCACAGAGAACCCCTCTCAAAATCAATAAAAATAGGTCAATACCCCGACATCTAATAGTAAAACTTACGAGTCTCAGAGACAAAGAGAAAATCCTGAAAGCAGCTCGGGAGAAGAGATATGTAACCTACAATGGTAGAAACATTAGATTGGCAACAGACCTATCCACAGAGACCTGGCAGGCCAGAAAGGACTGGTGTGATACCTTCAGAGCACTAAACAAAAATATGCAGCCAAGAATACTACATCCAGCTAGGCTGTCATTGAAAATAGAAGGAGAGGTAAAAAGCTTCCAGGACAAACAATAACTAAAGGAATTTGCAAACACAAAACCAGCCCTCCAAGAAATATTGAAAGGGGTCCTGTAAGCAAAGAGAGAGCCTAAAAGCAGCATAGATCAGAAAGGAACACAGACAGTATACAGTAACAGTCACCTTACAGGCAATACAATGACACTAAATTCATACCTTTCAATAGTTCCCCTGAGTGTAAATGGGCTCAATGCCCCAATCAAAAGACACAGGCTATCAGATTGGATTAAAAAACAAGACCCATCGATATGCTGTCTGCAAGAGACTCATTTTAGACCCAAAGACACCCCCAGATTGAAAGTGAGGGGGTGGAAAACCATTTACCATGCTAATGGACACCAAAAGAAAGCTGGGCTGGCGATCCTTATATCAGACAAATTAGATTTTAAAACAAAGACTGTAATAAGAGATGAAGAAGGACACTATATCCTACTTAAAGAGTCTATCCAACAAGAAGATCTAACAATTGTAAATATCTATGCCCCTAACATGGGAGCAGCCAATTATATAAGGCAATTAATAACAAAAGCAAAGAAACACGTTGGCAACAATATAATAGTGGGGGACTTTAACACCCCCCTGACTGAAATGGACAGATCATCTAAGCAAAAGATCAACAAGGAAATAAAGACTTTAAATGAAACACTGGACCAAATGGACTTCACAGACATACTCAGAACATTCCATTCCAAAGCAATGGAATACACATTCTTCTCTAGTGCCCATGGAACATTCTCCAGAATAGATCACATCCTAGGTCACAAATCAGGTCTCAACCGGTACCAAAAGATTGGGATTATTCCCTGCATATTTTCAGACCACAGTGCTTTGAAACTAGAACTCAATCACAAGAGGAAAGTCGGAGGGAACTCAAATACATGGAGGCTAAAGAGCATCCTACTAAAGAATGAATGGGTCAACCAGGAAATTAAAGAAGAATTAAAAAAATTCATGGAAACCAATGAAAATGAAAACACAAGTGTTCAAAATCTTTGGGATACAGCAAAGGCAGTCCTGAGAGGAAAGTATATAGCAATACAAGTCTTTCTCAAGAAACAAGAAAGGTCTCAAATACACAACCTTACCTTACACCTAAAGGAGCTGGAGAAAGAACAGCAAATAAAACCTAAGCCCATTAGGAGAAGAGAAATAATAAAGATCAGAGCAGAAATCAATGAACTAGAAACCAAAAGAACAGTAGAACAGATCAACGAAACTAGGAGCTGATTCTTTGAAAGAATTAACAAGATTGATAAACCCCTGGCCAGACTTATCAAGAAGAAAATAGAAATGACCCAAATCAACAAAATTATGAATGAAAGAGGAGAGATCACAACCAACACCGAAGAAATACAAACAACTATAAGAACATATTATGAGCAACTCTATGCCAGCAAATTAGATAACCTGGAAGAAATGGGTGCATTCCTAGAGATGTATCAACTACCAAAATTGAACCAGGGAGAAATAGAAAACCTGAACAGACCTATAACCACTAAGGAAATTGAAGCAGTCATCAAAAATCTCCCAAGAAACAAAAGCC